ATGGTAGAACAGCTTTGACGCCATTGATTCCTATTGCTGACCATATCTTCCAAAACATCCAACCCTTTGCACTCCGCTTCACGTGGTCCCTAGCCTGGGAGGCGCACGGATCCAACTGACGCTAGACACGAAGTTAGAATCTTCATACTCCTTTTCCAGATCATCGGTTGTCTGCCGCGTCTCTTTTTCCATTCGCGTCCAGGAAGTGCAAATAATGCGCGACGTGGAAAGCGGTGGGCCAACATGCGCAGTACGTGAATGAGCCAACGCAATTAGCGCTGGATGATTATGCTCTGGAGACCAGAACTGTTCACTCCCATGATACTGCTTCTAATTTCCAGGTTGCTCACATGGTGCTGTTACCATACGCGAGCAATTGAACGCAAGCAGCGGTTGTCGAAACTAGACAGTCGTCCCGAACTTTCCGATCGAACAGGTCAGGTCTCGCAGCCGTACAATAGGACAGCACGGACTGTGGTATTGTACACTCGGCCTTGGAGCTTGAGACTGACCTCGCGATGACGCCATAATTGTCTCAGGTTAGTAAATGCAAAACCAGCTTTGGCAATTCGTTGTGAAATTTCATCGCTAATACCGCTACCAGCCGTAATGCAACTCCTGAGCTAAGTAAAACCGTTAACGAGCTCCAGGCTGACCCCCCAACTGGTGTGCGTAGGCACAGGAGCCTGCCAATCCTGGAGCAAGGCTTTACACTTGGATGGAGCAAAATACAGACCCTAGTTAGATGCCTCTGTGGCTAAGCGGTTCAGAATGTTTTGAACAACCTGCGGGTCGTCCCCCAGCAAAACGATGTCATCAGTATAGTCCAGGTCCACGACTCTGCTCTCGGGTAGAAGTTCAACGGCGCAGCTCTGGGCTCCTTCCATTGCGCGCTATATGACATCTTCGATGGCAAAGTTGAACAGGAACGGCGAGATAGGACAACCTTGGTGCACTCCACTGGTAACGGGAAACGGGGAAGAAAGTCTTCCATAAGCTCTAATTTTGCCAGAGATGTGACTATACAGCTCTTTCAGGAGTATGACAAACTTGTCGGGAACGCCGTTCCGTTACAGACAGTTCCCAGTTGACAACCTATCTACTGCATCAAAAGTGGCTAGGATATACAAAAACACCACCATTGTTGAGCTTCGGTGGACATGACGATGTTCGAGAATTTGACGCAACGTGAAAATTTGGTCAAAACGGAAGCCAGCCTGTTTCTCACAACACAAACTCTCGCCTCAGGTGATTCAGCAAGCTGAGGTGTGTTTCTCGCCCTCAGCTAATGTGTATTGATGCTGATGATGATGATGATGATGATGATGATGATGACGACGACGACGACAACGACGACGACGATTCGACAAGCAGCGTTGTCACAACGGATCTACTAAAGTACTTTTTAAATTGTTCCGTCCATTTTTCTCATTTGTTGTCTGACTAACATGGCTTTGTTGTACCCGTGTTCCGGATGAGCGGAAATAGCACTCGGCTATTTCCAGTAGCATTGGTTTTCTCCATCTCACGGATTTTTGCCACTCATTAATGTTCACGGTCAACCCGAAGACCCTTTGTCACCCGTCGTTTCAGTGCGTTGCGTTACGGGCGCGGTGGAGCTCGATACCCACTAGAATTTGTTTATATGCTTCGATCAAATTGTTCGTTCCTCGGAGTTGCATTCACAGTTAAAGCGTATCGAGTTGAGCATTTGACAGGTGTCTTCATGGCACACTTGAGACGATTCCATTCAGCATTCGGTTCACTATGCTCATTCACCACTGACAATGGATGGGCCATTTCGCCATGATATTGCTGAACTACGGGCTGCGAGTTTAAATTACAAGAAGATTAGAAGTTAAGTGTTCCTTTGAAGCAGGTATGGTGAGTGCCTGGCGTGCGCACACTAGCGTATGGTCGGAATCCAGGTGTGTGCTCCAAATTGACGGACAGTCGTGGACTGAGATGCGCCATCTGTAACTGATGTCAATATGGTCAAATTGGGTTCAGATCATGGAGGAGTTCGGTGGGCGCCAGGCGACGCGGTACAAGCGCCTGTGTAGGTTGCTGATTCCTGTGCCGTCTAACTTGCTGCTTGACTGATAGCATCTGGATTTCAACCGGTGGCCACAATGAGGTAAAACAATCTGCGGAAGTTCCTAGTCGTTGCAGCGGCTCCCATATCAGAAGGTTGTCCTGACTGCTAGCATTCACGGCAGAATGAAGACTCGTTTCCAGCTATAGGGTATTTGACCGACGGAGTTCGTTGTTTTTCTCACTGGCCGGCACAGCCCGTCAAGGATTACTCAACTCCGAGGATGTTGCCGAGATCCAGCTATTAGCTGCGCAGCAGAAGAGGTGGCAGCTGAACAAACTGGCGGACAACATGGCTTGACCATCGTTAGTCAACATCCGAAGGATCGGCGAGAGAGGTTTTCGCGAAATCCGTCGATACCCCATTTGTACCGTTGGGTCTTCTAATTCACAAGTGCTCAGTCGAGTCTATTTTCCTCTTGGTGAGCCACCGGAACGCATGCAAACTTTCATGCACACACACATCCGTGCACGAACGGTTTCGACACACCTTGACCATTATGATCAACAATCCCGTATTTTTCCACTCCACCTGCTACTCTTATGGTTAGATAGTCCATTTGCAACTGACGGTTGATGCTGGAGGATGTCAAGTGGCAAAGTGATGCCCAGAGTGACAGAAACTCGTGCTGGAAAGGAAAAGCTGGTGGTCGACGCATAGACTGACCAGACGTTGTCAGCGTGAACATCATCACAATCGTGTAGTCTCTCGATGTGTCGTTTATAAGTCAACAGCTGACGGACACGTGAGTCGTGATCTCCTGCCATCTTGATAATTCCCGTTTTAGGTGCAGATCAAGGGGGCTTTGATACAACCGGTCCTTGACTGTCCGCTCTACAGTCAGGGGATGGAGATCACCAAAAAGAGCACGTTTGTCGGCTTGACGTCTGCTAACTTTGCATGAGCCACGGAACCTTCTATCACATACAGGACTGTTGATTGGAACCTATTCAATGAGAAAGGCTTGACCTCTGGGACTGAGTGCGATCCCAAAACAAGTACCCTGATGGGGCTAACTCAGCCTCGCCAGAAAGACACAGACGGAAAGGAGTGTGTGAGTATGTTAGTGACGGAAATCGATAAACTGTGTTAGCTGCCCGAAGTCGTGTTTCACTCGGGCAGCTGATATCAATTGTAGAAGTCTCCAATGTGCGTGTTGGTCCTTGTAGTTGCCCGATCTGCAGTAAAGTGTACACATTGTAGTTTGCTAGCTTGAACTGAGTCACGGCTTGCAGAAGTGACGATGGGAGACTTTGTGACTGATGGTTCTCTGTGAAGCACTATGTGGTTGCGTCGGATGATATTATGTGGGCAACTTCATCAGTGGTGGGGTGGTTTTTCGCCTTCGAATCAGGTAGCAGAAGAGGTGAATGATACAATGGGATAGTAGATAGGTGGGGGCGCTGCATTGTAAAAGTGACTTAGTAGCAAGAATGTAAACCATCATAAGTGCAATGGAGTGCGATTCTATGGTTCATCTTAGGTGAGACTACCCGACTGTCTAAGCAGAGGTAGGTAGGTTTTCTTAGGGGTCCACCGCCCCTAATCTTATGCCAAACGGCCTTTCCCGTAAGGTAGCACTGCGACATAAGGATTTCACACCCATTGGGAGCCGGTTACGCATCACTCAGGATGGCATTAAACCATACAAGCGTCCCAATACTCTCTACATCAGAGGCTAAATCCTTGGTGCGGATTGCTTGTCGGTGTATAATGTCTTCAAGGAAAACAAAAGGCAGTGACTTCATTTAGCAGCTTGCACATTCGCCACTTGGTAGTGCTGTTAATCAGATATGTTTTTGGAGAGAGAGAAGGCCCGGTAAACGAAAGCCCACCTTTTTCTATGGCCCTGTCGCCGAACCATTCTCTGGGACAAGAAATTCCCGAGCCATCCAGCTGGCATCACGTGGAGGTTGTTCGACAAGCCAACCTACTACATACGTTTTCTAACGAATTCGATAGAGGGTTTAATACGTGAGATGAATATTTTGCTACACACTTCTGGTGTGACTCCCTTCTAACTCAGAAACGCCTCTCTCGCATTCGATTCTTCATAACTTACTATCTTATGTGGGGTGCTTATGCACTGCTGCTCATTGTCGCTTTATTGACCCTTTTTTTATCCGTGTTGATATTACGGAATCCGTTGACAGTTTGTGCTTTTTACCTATCTTCATGCAATCAGTTGCAGTGAAGTTAGGTATCACATCAGTTGTCTTCGCGATCAAGCACTATTTGCTTTCTTTCTCGTGTGCCTCAGTGACAAACCCCGCACTTAATGTAGAATTCGAACAATGCAACAAATCTCACTTTCACGGATCGTGTTAAGCTCCGCCCCCCTCCCACCCTAGAGACGGAATCCGACAGCCGAAACTTCCCATTCACTCTTGGCCACACTTTTAAGTACAGTTTCTCCACTCCCATTGCGGCCTGCAGTGATCGCAGTCTGATCCAGACTAAACTGTCATCTCATTTAATCTTTTGCGTCCCATTCCCATCGCACAATGAACTCCCCAAACTCAAATCACAGTAGCGTTCCATCAAGCCCCATCAACTTCCGCTTTCCAGGTCTCTCTGTGGAGTATTGTCTCAACACCGAACTTGCTCATCCCTCACCAAACCTTTAGTGTGTGTGTGTGTGTGTGTGGCTATGGCACTATCAACGAGGTTTGGTGTGTTGTTGCACCACGGTTTTGCAGCTGACAAAAGCCATGCTGCCATTTCTGTTGCTATCTATCATTTCCTCATGACGTTGGAGCAGTAGGATCTTCCCCATTTTGTGATGATTACCACTTTTGGACTTATTTGATAACTTATGGAAACAAGTTAAGACGTATTTAGTTCTAAGCCCTTTCTCACTTTTTGTCTTTACTATTCTCTTTACGTATTTATCTTTTCTCTACAGTACCTGGAACCATACAGTCTACATCCAGTTTTCAGTCTCGAAGATTTTCAGCACTTTTTCCTCCCTCGTGACGATGTCGTCAACTCATTCGTAGTCGAAGTGAGTTCTCCACTGCTAATCACATTTCTCTAGTCCTGGCACACTTGTTTCCACTTTGAATTAACCTACCCCCACCAATCGCATCTCCAGTCAACGACTAACAGGCTCGGTTGTTCTTCTGTGAAGGATCGTTATTGGTCGCCTTGTTTTGTTTTACTTTTCACCACCTCATAATCTCGGTACGCATACTGCGATGAACTATCGCGTGAACTTCGCCTACTACTCCAATCAGGTGCCACTGTGCTAATCCACTCCATTCTATGCCTGGTTCTCACATTCACCAGCATAGCAGCATATCCATCAACGACTCAGTTTGACAACTGATGCTATTTCATCAAAACACTTACTTCATGGCTAAATGTGACTCTTCCGTGTATGGCCACCACCTATTGCGTCCTTTAGATGCCTGCGCTTGAGTTTGTTGCTAACTAGTTCTACTTCCAATTGTTTGCGCTCGCACTATCTTGTGGTCATCATTGACTGCGCAGCCGTACATCATCGATGCCCACTTCTAAACTTTTTCTACCATTACCATCTCTTTGTTGCACCGTAATCACTTTTTTAGTCACTGCATTGCCATCTTTTCGTATGTATTTGGATATCATTTCACAATCTCAGTTTGATGCTCAACCACATGGTATATACCTCGTGTCGATGTATCATGTTCGCAGACTCCTTTATTTTGCGTGTTGTTCTTTGTTGATTTCATTTGTTTCGCAGATTTCAATTTAGGCTGGCTTACTCAACCAAACTTTATTGTCATTATTAATCTCTCTGGGTTCTAATTCCTGTGCAACCTACAAACTTATGATAGTATTCACTGCTCTTGCCTTCTATGTCCCTTTTCGTCACCTGGAGTCGAAACGTGCAACCCACTTTGACTCTGTTCTCTTGTATGACGCACAATTTTAATCCTTTCTCCCTCCCCCTCTGTTTAGGATGATGATCATACTATTACGGACTTTTGTTCGTATTACGTGTTACCTAGTTCGGTGATGCGAAGCGACCTGCACTCGACTTTGCGAGCTGCATACTCATTCTACAATGCAGCAACTGTGACCCCATGGACCGCACTCATCCAAGATATGCTCATTACGGCAAAACAAGTGCGTCCTTCCTCTTCGAGGATTTCCTTTATTATGAGATTTGTTTTCTGCTATGTCGAAATGATTTTTACCAACAGTATTTGGATTATTTTCTGGGTTTAAGTGGGTAAGGTCCCTTGCAATTTCGCTCATTTCTTTTGCTTTTTTCTTCTGGTATGTTAACAACCGCTACATCCTTCAACAACTATCAACTCGCCAGACAACACACACCGAAGGTGCCGAACTCCGGTCCCAAACCGCCCCAAAAAGCAGTCGAATACCCTGGAACAGGAAGAATTTCTTCCTATCAGACAAAGGGTGCACATTGTCTTTGGCTAATATAGTTTCTCAACGTATGAGTTAGAAACTGCCGACATGGTAAAATGTTTTTCGCTGGGCTGCAGTGCTCAATAACAATATTAGGCAATTAGATCCTGCGAAGAATTTTGGTATTTCCTTTCGGTATTTGTCCATGAAATGTACCCCAATCAAATCGTTATAGCTTGTTCATCGTAACGCTTTTCTCCTTCTACTTCTCTTTTGGCGGATGAAATGCAATCGGTCAACTTTCAACTAGTATTGTGTTATCGCCCTTCAGTTGTGTCTCCCTTGCGGTCGTTTAGCATTCACTTTTGCTTTCGGTTCAGAAACAGGAACTTTATCATCTTTTGAGGTGCTCTGTGTTATCCAGTATTCCTGTGTCATCCTCTTGTCCCTGTTAATTTCCACTCTGCTGTTCTAATGTCACCGTACTCTTGCGTTACTCTCTACGGCTCGCATGACTTCTGTGAGCTTTCAGCTTCAGGGACTAGTGCATGTTCCTCAGCATCAACTTGACATTTTATGGGGAAATTGCACAAGTATTGTGAATTCCGATTGACCTGTCTGCTCCTATCCACTGAACTCCTTCATGACTGTTTTTTTCAGCTAGGGAAATGTGACTAAACGATTATTTCTTTTTCCACCATGTAGTATCTCTTCTATGGCGCAGCCCATTACCCCTTTGCTTGATTTTATCAGCGAACTTAGGCTATCTGCTTTTATGGCATAGCATTTGTCTACCATTCGATCCGTTACTTCTTTCGTGGACGTTTAACTGTCATGACCCTCACTTGCTAACACAATCTAAGTGGGCCCCACTCCCTGTTTGTCACTCTCTTTATGGCTTTCTTTTACACACCGAATCCTGAACCACACAAGCTTCTACAGCGTATACTGTTTGCACCTGTAACCTCAGAACCCCGACAGCTATTTTTTGTGCTGGGTGACGAGTCCGGCGCTGAATTTTGGTGAGATGCGCTCATAACTATCGTTGGTTGTCTGTGGCCTTTTTTATCTGCCCTTCCTCTATTGATTTGGTTTTTCCTTACATTCACTTTGATTCTGTTTACTCGTCATCAAATGCTACTGATTTTCTGCTAACTCGTCACGTGACCTGTTTTATCTACTTATTATTCGTATAAAGCTGACACTCCGTGAATCAATACAGCCTCGTTTCACATCGTGTGCTTCTTGGTAGTCTCGGTTTTACTATCTTTATGTCGTATAGTGGGTGGAATGATTCCACTCGTATCACAGCCGCTATCATTTTCCGATAATAGACTTTGAGATTCGTTTGACTAAGCATACGTATCCAATTTGGCAGCTAACCTAGACCCTTCGTCCTTGAATGTTCTTACTTTCAACCATTGAAACTAATCGTGGCTCCGCAGCTCCGATGTTGACTATCCAACGTCCAATTTTGCCACCTCTATTGCCCAGTCTGCAATTACGTAAGAAATAGTGTACTGTGTTCACATGAACTAAAGTAGCTTCACCTGAAAGTTTTGCAATTTCGTCATTCCCACCTGCGATTTTTTTTCTCTGGTTCACCACACACGTTGTTCTCCACACAGTGGAATGTGAGTCAACTGTTCTCTGTCACCTACCGGGTGTGTCGTTTGTGCTGCATATGCCGTCCACCTCAGCAACCTTGTTTGTTTCAACTGAGAAAATAATCCCAGAGATGATATCAGAAGCAGAAGGCAGTTAGGCGGACAAGCTTGTTTTCGGTGGTTAGCATCAGGCTAATACGCCACAGATAATAGGAATAAAACAAACACAGTGTATTTAAATACGATGAATCAATGAAGTAAATCGACCGGTCAGTGCGATCCATTGACGACACTTGCTTGGGCATCATTAGTGGAAGGGTCAAGCGCGGTGTCATAACATGGGGAAGCTTGAGGCCATGGTAGCTGTAGAGCATGTACAAACTTCTTTCGATCACATAAGTCAGGGTTATGGAGTCGAATAGCGATTGCCTCCGCTGTCGCTAATAGGCGACATCGGAGGGCTCGCGTGTGGCGTCCAGATATCTTGTAGGTAGGCCGGAAGGCCTCTCGCACATTCACTTGGTGATTTGTGCCGGCCAAATGCCACAGCACCGCGCTGACTACTGCCTTTCTGACACCAGTGTAGAGCCACGCCGGGCAATGTTCTCGGACTCTCTTAGACAGTCTCCTGGTCGTCTTTCCAATATAACTTGATCGACACGAGCAAGAAAAATGGTACATACAGAAGGAAATATTTGACCTCGGTAATCTGTCCTTGAGATGCTGACGCAAGACTGGCATAGAAGTGAGGCTGACACGGAGGTCATCCGCAAAGTAAGTTCTCGCGGTTGCATTGCAGAGCCTTCGGGCAGTTTGTTCCGCTATCACATCACCCTTGAAAGGCAGTGATAAGTAGATTAAGCGCTTTTCTGTGGTGATTGGTTGGACTTTTGGTGGTCGTGGTTCCAGGCTTGTTCGCCCAACTGTCTTTTGCTTCTGATGTCATCGGGATTATTTTCTCAGTTGAAACAATAAAGGATCCCACTTAATCAGTACGTTAGGTTCAACACAAGACTTACTGTAGCGAAGGCGAAGGTGCAGTTTTTGGAGGAATGCGTTTTGGGTAGTGAATAGCCCAAACACTTGGAAGATTCTCAGACGTAAAGGAGTTAAGCCAGCAAGCACTGCTTTGAAGCGTCACACTCTGAACAAGCGAGACACGGTTTTTTCTCTGACTGATGAGCTTGACCGCAAGCGGTGTAGCTATTCCGACGCACTGAGTGAATTGGACGATGAGGAATACAAACAGTTCGAATCATTCGTTCAGCGAATTATGACTCGGCAAGTGGAAGTACGAATAGCCTCAGTACGGCGACGGATCACTTCAATAAGGCAGAATAACAAGTTTCCACCTGACCCTGAGAAGTAGATGCACAATTTCTCCTCTTTGCAATTAGATAGAACACAAATGGAGGTCCTCTCACTAGGCCCGAAATTCTGTTACCCCCGAGGTAATGTACAACAGTTACACTTTGAAGTCTAATTTGAAAATCTCTTAACACCATCGTCAGCATTATCAGCCGAACAGTATAAATCCACATTGGTAAACACATGCTACCAGTACCTGAGATACAAACCGACCATCAAATATCTTCTAAAGAACAGGCACTTGGACGCTCTGAAGGAACTCAAGAAAAACGAGGATGTTTTGTTATCTAGACCGGACAAAGGAGCCGGGATTGTATTGATGAACAAGTCAGATTATATTGATACGATGAACACCATCCTAAGAGATGCATCGAAATTCCGAAAAGTACAAAACGAGAAAGACAGGACGCCGGCAATTGAGAAGACCATGACAAAATCTTTGCGGCGTTTGAAACAAAATAACATCATAGACTCTGTCATTTTTGAATACGCCAGACCTAGTGGAACCGTGATTCCGCTGCTTTATGGCTTACGTAAGATGCGCAATCAAGTTGTACCGTTGAGACCGATACTGGACGTGTACAACTCTCCCTATCATCTGACTGCTAAGTGGCTTGTCAAACGCATCGAGCCGGTCAGGAAAGCCGTATCTAGGTACAACCTCTGGGACACTTTCGAATTTCTTGACTCAGTGCTACAACTCAATCTAGCTGGACGGAACATGTTCTCACTAGATGTGGCGTCACTTTTCACCAACGTCCCGTTAGAAGAGACCACTGACTATCTGAGAGTTTATCCAATTGCACAGCATCAACATCGGTATTCGAAATGGCTGTTTAAAACAACTTATATTGGCGTGCACTAAGAACATTCAGTTTTAGTTCAATGAGACGTTTTACAGACAAATAGACGGGGTAGCTATGGGTTCACCATTAGGACCACTACTCGCCGATGTCTTCATGATTAAGTTGGAGAACACGCAGCTAAAGAAATGTATCAACAACTTGGCTTACTACGGTCGATACGTTGATGACATTTTGTGTTGCGGATGGTCGAGTATGCATCGAAGATCTGCTAGCCCACTTCAATGCTTCACATAACAACATAGTGTTCACCATAGAACTTGAAAGTAACAACTCCTTGTCATTCTTAGATGTCCACATCAGCAAGACATCAGACGGGACAGTACAAAGCAGAGTAAGTACATAGAGACAACTTGGACCGGCCAGTTCCAATGAGTCAAAAACGCAACCTTGACCATTGTCTAACAGAAAGAGCGAGGAAAATATGCACTGAAGCTAAGCTGTCGGATGAATTGAGTTTCATTCGAAGCGTCCTTGAACAAAATGGTTATCCGGACAAATTCATCCGGAGACACATGAAGCCACGAGCACCAAAAGTCCAACCAATCACCACAGAAAAGCGCTTAATCTACTTATCACTGCCTTTCAAGGGTGATGTGATAGCGGAACAAACTGCCCGAAGGCTCTGCAATGCAACCGCGAGAACTTACTTTGCGGATGACCTCCGTGTCAGCCTCACTTCTATGCCAGTCTTGCGTCAGCATCTCAAGGACAGATTACCGAGGTCAAATATTTCCTTCTGTATGTACCATTTTTCTTGCTCGTGTCGATCAAGTTATATTGGAAAGACGACCAGGAGACTGTCTAAGAGAGTCCGAGAACATTGCCCGGCGTGGCTCTACACTGGTGTCAGAAAGGCAGTAGTCAGCGCGGTGCTGTGGCATTTGGCCGGCACAAATCACCAAGTGAATGTGCGAGAGGCCTTCCGGCCTACCTACAAGATATCTGGACGCCACACGCGAGCCCTCCGATGTCGCCTATTAGCGACAGCGGAGGCAATCGCTATTCGACTCCATAACCCTGACTTATGTGATCGAAAGAAGTTTGTACATGCTCTACAGCTACCATGGCCTCAAGCTTCCCCATGTTATGACACCGCGCTTGACCTTTCCACTAATGATGCCCAAGCAAGTGTCGTCAATTGATCGCACTGACCGGTCGATTCACTTCATTGATTCATCGTATTTAAATACACTGTGTTTGTTTTATTCCTATTATCTGTGGCGTATTAGCCTGATGCTAACCACCGAAAACAAGCTTGTCCGCCTAACTCTTTTGCTTTTGAAGCCCTGTTTATACTGAATCTTCAACTCACTCTCTTATATCTAGGATGCTTCGCTTCTTGCGAGTAGGCTCCGGCCATAGCCTAGGGTAGTGTCCCCTAAGTCAAACCCCTAATTCGGTGTTGGCAAGCAGATAGTATCATGCCCTTTCACGAAACTGCGGATTGATCTGCGTCTTGTTCGGTTTCTTTAAACGATAACCTTACCTTTCCATGATGTCGCTTGCTGTCTATTCATATATATATATATATATATATATATATATTCATTTATTTATTTACCATTAAGACTGTGAATAGCAATTGGACGTCTACGCTTACAGAGCAACTGTGGAAGCGTTGCTGTGTACTACCCCCAGCTCCGTCCACACACCCCATATCCAGTGTAAACCTGAAGGAATAAGACCGGGAGGCGTGTGAATGGGAGTTACGTTACATAAACAGAACTGGACCACACTCCTGCAACATGCTGCAGCATTCCTGTCTATCTATGTTGGTGGTCATGCATAACAGACTTACACAACGTGATGGCTGGGCTGTAACCCGTTCCACACTGGTTGGAACCACTCTATGAGCCTAGCATGGCCACGAGGACTGTGCACCCCGTCCACCCCAACAACGATTCACAGTCTCCTGGGGCCAGTAATCGAGGTAGCGGTATTTCGACAGGTAGGCACTTCGTCAATCTTAACATCAATTGCGACGCTGAGGATGTCACAACCGACACAGAATTTGAAGGAAAATAAATGCGCAAAATTGACACGGAATACACAGCCGAATAACATGACAGAGTAAATCAAATGAAATGTTGGTCGGTGTAGCCCAATTGAGTTAAAAAAGCATGGTGTATGCAATATCAACCTCAGCATGAGCCGGCCTATGGCCTTAGGGATCACAGGCCTGCCTTGTAATCGTAGGTCGCGGGTTCGAGCTTGCGTATGAGAGTAAGCGATCCTCGCAGTACCTTTACCACACGCACGATTGGTGGTGGTTGCCCGGCAACGAAGCTTCGGTCTTGAGTTCTGGCGTACTGCTGATGCTTTAAGCTCAGCCGATATATATATATATATATATATATATATATATATATATATATATATATATATATATATATATATGGTTGGCGGCATCCGGTTTCGGATTTGCCTGTGACTGTGGCAAGCCACAGGACGCCTGCGCCTACAGAGGGACCATGGGTGGCTTGCGCTGCACCACCCACAGCTCCAACCACACACCCCATATCCAGTGTAGACCCGAAGGAATAAGACCAGGAGGCATGCGGATGGGAGCCACGTTTCATCAATGCAGCCGGCCCACACTCCTTCACAGCAAACACAAGCACGCTGTATTTGGGGAATCAAGCGCACACAAGGCGGTGGTTGGACCGTGGTACGCTCCACACGGAGTGCATGGAACCACTCTTTGATCCTAACACGGTCACAAGGACCGTGCACCCCGTCCTCTCCAGCAACGACAAACTGTCTCTTGGAGCCAGTATGGACTAGGTAGTGGGTAATAGACAGGTAGGCACCATATCAACATGCACATCAAGCGCAGCCACACCGGGGATATCAAACAACAACCAATCACTTGAGAGAGAGAGAGATACAAAAAAATAAATCGTGTAATGCATAAGGAAACGGTGACATAAACCTTAAGTTAATGAGCATATGAAATAAGTTGTTTACAAACGAATCCTAGATAAGTTCACGAGGTCAGAAAGTATACTTTACGGAAATGCCATGGACACAAAAATGTTATGGAAATCGAATACAATTGGCTTAAGCGCGGTGTGCAAGTTAATGGAAGAGAGTACAGGTAGACATTTATATGAGAAAGAAAAGCATTAAGGCAAAATTGCAAACCCACCACCTGAAATAAAGAGACTTAGCATGCAAGCACGCGGTTAGTAAATCGAATGCAGCGTACCTACAAACGCTGCGCCGGTTCTGCCTAAGTTCGCTGCAGAACCCGTCGTCGCTTCGGTAGTAGTCCCGAGTGGCCGCGCTCATGGTTCACTAAGCCTGCCTGACTAAGGCACTCGCGACCGCATGTTCTACAGCACCGTGCGCTTGATGTCGATGGAGAACAACATATATATATATATATATTGCTTTTATATTCATGTCTACCATTTTCACCTGCCATTTGTTCTATCCCTAAGTGTCAATTAAATATTTTTGCGCTTTTTGATCATGCTATTTCATCCTTTTTTACAGCGTTATTCCTTTGCCTTACCCTTTTGCTTTATCCCAACCTTTTTATCGCAGCTGAAATTTGATGTGTTCAACGCTCTCGATCTAATGGAACATCGAAAGTTTTTAGAGGAGCTCAAGTTTGGTATAGGTGATGGAAACTTGCATTATTATCTGTACAATTGGCGTTGCCCGGTGTCAGTGCCGGAAAAGGTGAGTGGTTTTCTGTCTTGAATCTGAATTGTGCTTTGCTGAATTTTGTTTACGTTATTGCTCATCGTTCATGAATGACTAAGCATGTGGCCCCCGTTTTAGTTATGAATGTACTCGATTTTACGTTTTCGTGCCTCAGATGAGTAGTGTCAGAACCAACATCTTGTGGCACAAGGTGACTCTGCGGTGGTGCTCCAAGTTCCATTTTCGTGGGCACGAGACATCATGTGAACTACTAAGCCAATGAACCTCTTCACTTTCATGAGTTCTCAATGCTTACCTCCATCAGCCGGTTTTTAGTTGGAAACCTGATGTCTTACTCGAATGTTTGCTTAAGCTCAACCGTTTACGTTAGTTAGGCCATATCCGCCGTGTGACCGTCGACCGGCTCCCTCTGAGTGCATCATACGCTGTCACTGCACCCAGTTGGGCGAAACTGCACGGTGCTTAGTTGATAACTTAGCATAAAGGCATAAAGAAAGTGGCCCAGAGATTTAGTCAGGCTGTTGTGTGCCGTCTTCGCGAATGTAGACCCCGGAATGGTCCACACCAGTGGTTGACGACCCTATCAGACACGGCGCAGTCACATACTCAATGGCGTAGCTGCATTCTTTTCTTGCATCTAGCTTCTAATGTTCATTCATTTCAGCTCAATCCTATCCTAAATCCATTGTATCTGTATTCTGTTTACGTTCAACCCGCTGATATGTATTGTTAATACGGAGACGTGAGTGCACTTGGGTACCCGGAGTATAGTAATTCTACTGAACTTAACTAAGCTGCGTCCGCATCTAGATAGTTTTTGTTTTGATGTTAGCTCCCACCTACTAGCTCTTTTCATTTTCAGCCCCCCACAGGTTACTAGCGCTAGTGCAAACGATCTGAACGTGGGTGTGTATGTTGTCTTGGGAGATGATTACTATCTCATCGGTCTATCACTCTGGGGAATCCATTGGTTCTCTGTGGAACGATTCACTGCCATCAGTAATATCTCTCACAGAGTCAAGTTAGTGCAAACTTTTGTTTAGCCGGGGAGCTACTTGGTTAGGCTGTTGTGTCAGTGCTCTTGGAACTGCGTCCCACAGTCGGCCATATCAGCGGTTGTTACTGAACGCCCATGGCTCATTTGCGAAGTCACTTTGCTTTTGCATTCGGGTTCTTGTTTGACAACACAGACTCTTTCGCCCAGCAATCTTATCTACATTTTCTTATTCCCTCTTCCTCCTTACAAACTTCGCTACAGAAATGATCGTCACTGTATTCCCTCTGATTTGATGCTCCGATCGATGAACGTAGTTAAATCACTCCATCGTGTTTGCGATCAGAAATGCGATTATTGTAGTCGGTACTTTTTGATTTAAATTCGTTTGAATCACTTCTCCTAACCGCAGCATTATGTGGCTGTTTCGATTTTAATGACTGCCGCTCTAGTGGCTGTGAGCTGTATCTTCAGTATTTCCAAACTCACAGTTCCTTTTTTCATATCTGCCACTTTCGGTCCAAATATTCTCATTGCATCGTGTTTCTGCCGTACAACGAAGAACTGCTTCCTATTGGCCATGTCACAATTAACTAGCGAGTACGTATGTTTGTCAGTTCAATTCTATGGATCTCCCTGAGCCACTCCGGTAGCTCTACTCCGTCTTGGTTTGCACTCACTCGATGAGTGCTCTGTGTGTCTAGAGATCGACGATTTCATAAGTCACTTACTAGTTCCTCAACCATACGATCGACGACGCAGATGTAGCAAACTGAGCTCGATATTTAACAGCGTTAGTGGCGCACAAGTGATGAATCGAACGTCGTTTGTACTAGCCACCCTTTTTCTATTATTTTTCGGCTCATCTAGTCGTCCGCTTTCTTTCCTATCGTCGTTAGCTCTTTGTTATGGTTCGGTTTGATTCATGACAACCGGATTTGCTGCTGTACAACACTGCATTAGATCTTCATTTCTTCGTCTCCGTTGCATGTGTCCTTTCTGCTTGAATCAAGCCAGAAAAATTGTCATCATCAGTACACCGGCACATTACCGACGCTTCGCTGTCACGCTACCACCACCGGTCGCGTGTGGGTTGAGTATGCCGTGTGGACGCCCACCCCTACTCGGATTCGAACCGGTGACCTAAAGGTTACAAGCCAGGCGTGCAGTGCTTTCGGCCACCGGCCGACTCTGTTTGAATCAATTCAGTCACTACGTCTGTCTCCTAGATTGCTTTCTGCCACTGGTTTTCCCATTGCATTACTATCACACACGGCACTATCAGCATCGATTATGAAACCCATTTTTACTTGCATCGCTGAATCTCGTTGATATTTTTTCCGTTTCTAATAATACTAGTGTGTCCTTGCATCTTGATCTTTGATCACTGATTCTTGGCATGATGCACTTTTATGGGTAACATCTGCCTGCTCCAGTGCGATCCCATTATTCTGATCGCATATCATTCGCGCCCTTTAGGCAACATACGCCGTTTTCCAGTGTATCAAGTTGTTTGATTTCTAAACTGTGAATCTTGCTGTTGGTCTACGTCATTTTGTAAGTCGCTCCTCTTATGAACGAAGTAGTATTAACCACTATTCTCTTTTAAGTAACCTCTGGTTTCACTCTCAGGAACTCCACCCATTGTATATTTTTCGTCTCTTTATTGCAGGTCGCTATGATTTTGCAGTGAACGTCACCGGTGTGAAGCTATTCGTTCTTTCCCACGGCAGTCTGTAATACTCATTATTGCACTTATCGTGTCATTGCGCCCACAATGACTACTTCACGCTCCCGGTCACCGGTCATACATCACCCTGAGTTTGTCCATCCAACTTGCTGAGCCTTACTACCGTGTCAAATATCAACTCGTTATTTTTCACTTGCTTCAACTGGACATTGCATCACATGCACTCCGAGCTTTTTCTTACTTTTTAGCCACCTGTCTCTCTAGTAGGTTGTTGGTTCTGAAAAGAGATTTACAAGTTCTCTGTTTCCCGACGCTTGGTTCTTCACTTCTGATAGTTACAAATCCCCTCCCATCGTCATCACTAACGATCAAAACTTATCAGTTGTTTGATGAACTGATACTTCGCTGCCACAAACCATATAATGACTTTGGGAGTGATGAATAATAAAGGGGAGAGTATAGAATCTAGCGTACAACTAGAGATTGCTTAGCACACACGTATATACCTTGTAAACAGCACGGCTGGCTATCGTAAAAAGATTAAGCTACACAAGGGGAACAGTTTCATCGCGACATTCACTGCCGTGCATCATAATCGGCATTGGTCAACGTCAGACGCACTTGGTTAAGAGATAACAGCAAACGCGCTGCTAGTGCTGGTTCCCACCATGTCCGTAAAGTTTCGAACAACTCAAAATGATGATGTTGTGGGCCAACAACATGAGAGATTGTCTTCAGTGGTTCCATTTCCCGCTACCAAGTCAACCTTTGCCCACCTGACAAACGAAACAAGGCTTTCTTCGTTTAGCAGTTACCGGGCATATGTGGCGCGTGCTCAACCCAACGCAACTTATTCAACATTATTTGTTGTTCTGACGGCATTACTTCACTATGCCCGTCTATTATACGCTTGTGCATATTTTCCTTGGAGACACACGTGTCATCCGATACCCGTAGTGCTCCACAGGTGCCCAAAGACTTGAGGTGCCTCAGACTGAAGAGAGCAGCTATCATTTATCCGATTGGTGGTCACTGTCTTTTGCGCACACGACCTTTCAGACCGTTGGAATTTTTTCTGACTCCAGACATCTCGTCGATTCAAAATAGTGGTTCAAATAATATTTAATTCTGACAATTTGTGTGCATAAACTATGGTTGGGACTTGCAGCAAATTACCAAGGGAGGACAATATTCCGGCAGAATACGGTGAGGATAGTCCGGAATAAAGGAATTTCTGAACCTGGCGGAACTGCACATCAAGTTGGCTAATATGTTTGTGTGCGGGCTCCACGCACCTATAAGTTTCCTACACGCTGAGTGTCGCAAACAATAGAATCAAGATGATTTGAGAACAAGGGCAGAGCGCCAAACGACGAAATCAAACAAGACAGCTAAACTTTAATATCCAAAGAAGTATGGAGTTTTTGGTGAATACCTACACAGCATTCAAATTAGCGCAAGAAACGCTATCAAACTTGGCTTACCTTGCAGATAGCTTAACAGAGTTAGAAGAGCAAGTCTCATAACGCTTTACATTCAGAATGCAAACCGGAAAATAGCTATAACTTTGATAGGAAGAACAGTTGGCAAGATGTGCCTTAAAAGGAAACTTATAACCAACTTAACAAATATATAACAAAAATGTGGTCAGAGCCCATCACCAAAGCTTACTATTTGCATTTATACATTCTGCAAAAGATGCTCTGTAAGTTACGTCTATGCTTCTTTACACTTGGGACGCATGTGTATTAAAGTATATCCAATCAAAAGTACTCGTCGATAGCTATCCGATGATGTAAGGGAATCTGTCCACCGATGTGATTCAACAGAGAAAATTTGAAAATACTGGAAAATCGACAGTCACGCGCCGATCGCTGCGGCTGCGTCGTCAATTGGTTGGTTCTTCTGCAGTAGCACTTTGGAGGTACGAAGCATATACCAACTGCTGGGATGACTCCAGAGTTGACTTAGCTGCCGCAACATTGTCAAACAGTACGGCGATATCGTCCACCTACTGCCTACTTCCTGGCAGTTAGCACCCCATGCTCGAGTTTACGACAAATTTACAGATATTAGGTTATTCAGGCGAACATCACTTGTCGGAAAGGTATTCAACAATTCGTCCTAGACCATGACATCACCTTTGGTGTTCGGGTACGGGGCAAGTGAAATCCTCACATACTTCAAAGGAAAATTCCTACGAGCAAATATATCGAACGGAAGTAGAAAGTAGCGAACAAGCTGGTTTTCAATGGATCATCATCAGGCTAGTACAACAGCAACTATGTTGATAAAAACAAACATATAAGTTATAGACGGCAATAAATCAAATGTTCTCATCAATACGGCTAGTTGAATAGCCCAACTTGTATATAGTCAGGGGGAATGGCGCGAAAGGTATGATTACTTGTGTTAGTCTATGGCCAGAGTAGACAGAGGGTCCGCACGAAATTCTGTACACGCAAGTCCGGGTTATGGAGCCGAATTGCGATTGTCTCTGCTGTCGACAGCAGACGGCATCTGACAGCTCGTATGTGGCGTCCTGGTACACAGTAGATGTTAGGTCTCGAACGACCTGCTCCGAAGGAAATTGCGCTGTCTGACAATCAAGTCGAGTTGTCGCCACTGATTCAGACCAACTCCTGTAACTTGCATGGAAAACTAGAATTTCACACAGACCAAAGTCAAAGGCGCACAGCAACATATCAAATTGACTTGTTCGGGAAGGTAAGCGCCCAATTCCCCACAAGTAACCGTCTCAGTTCCAAGCAGACTAATGTTTTTCTGTGTTGAAGAACTTTACTATCGCTTGTTTCACACTCACACGTCCCGTGACTCTTTGTGATCTATAAATTCAAAGTAGCACCTAGCCGTGATTTGAACTGTATCAGTGTGTATTCATACCCATGTCGGCGTGTTCTGTGTTGCGCAAATATACTTCTCGTCCGGTAGGTTGTGTTTTGACTCGTGTGGTGCAATCTAAGGAGCGGCTAAGTCGAACCCCTGAGGATACAACGGTAGATTGGTTAGAATGCATCATTTGAGTTTATCTTGTGGTTAGAATCCACTAAGTGTGACAATACAGCGCTCGTCACATTCTTCCACACATCAACTTATAGCCAAACTGGACAGTGCTCTCGAGATCTTACGGACAGTCGCCTTTTCGTATTTCCAATATACATCGCTCGACGGTAGCAAGATAACTTGTACACCCAAAAGGAATTTTGCGACCGGCGTATCCCTGTCTTTGAGCTGCTGGCACACAATTGGTGTTGAGTTGAGTCTTACGCGTAAGTCGACCGCAAGGTAAGTTTTATTATTGGCCAGGGTAAGCCTTCGGACATTTCGCTCAGTCATCGTGTCACCCTTAAACGGTAAGGATTAGTATATTAAGCGCTTTTCTGCGGAAACAGATTTCATCTTTGGACACATTTTGTTGGATGTCCATTACGTTCGGACATGCTACGGATGAAACTTGGCTTATCAGAAGGCGTATCTTCTATGCATATTCGTCTCGCTTACTCCGACAGACAAAGGATAAGATTACGTTTCTGGCTGATCGGAATGAAAGTTGGTGTATTGCCCATTCCAAGTTTCCTTTCTGTGCGCTTTCATCCACATTGTCCTGTCTGATGCCCTATTGATCTGGACGTCTTAAAAGGTCAACGACTGGTCACTTTCCAGTTCGAGAGCAAACGTTATGTTGTTATGCACGGGAATGAAGTGGGTCAACAGATCTTCAATACTCACCCCATCGTCCGCGACATAAAAGATGTCAACCGCATCTCGACCATAAGAAACCAAACTGTTGATGGACTCCTTCAACTGGCTGCTTCGATTGGTTCATGAACACGTCCGCGATTAACGGGTCTGATGGCTAGCCCATCTTTTTGTCCGTACAGTGATCCATAAAACTGAAACGGGATGTTTCTGGTGCATCTCAGCAGTAGTTGTCCCAATCGATCTTGTGGGGTGCTGATGTCGATGTTGTGCAACTGGATGAACTGGTCTAGATGGCTTGTGGTCTCTCCTACTGGAGCATTGGTGAAGTGGGACACCATGTCTAATGAAAATATTTTCCGCCCGATTAGTTCAAGGTATTTCACTGAGTCAAGAAACTCAAAAATGTTCTTTAGTTTATACCTCGTTATGGCTTTTCGGACTGATTACAGATCGAACAGACCGGATCGATCGATCGAGTCGAGCTCTTGAAGTCCGGAACACAGGTAGTCAATCTGCATTACGCGTCACACTGTTCAAATCCCTTGTCGTAGAGTGAGTGTATGATCTATGCAACCTCGTCTCGAACGGAAACCTGCTTGCTCTTCCCTCATCTGAAATTTTGGTTTCGCAACAATAGTGCTAAGGCCAATAACTTTCACCGACGGCGTTAAGCCGATACTCCTGTTTTTAACACCAATGATGCGACTCCCTTTCCTACATATTCCTATTGTGATCAGTTCACTTTAATTGAATAGGATGGTCTCTTTCTACCAGCTTTGTGATCGAACTGATCCTGAATGACTCGGTTATTTCAGACTATTCTGGAATGGAAGTTTTGCCAGGCGACCGACTGACAAACCTGAACTATGCAGGTCCAGATGCAATAGACCTACGGAACTGTACTCAAAGATGCTCCTCCCAACAGGCCAGATGGTGTTCACTATCTTGGAATGGGGCACCAGTGCTGTCCCTGGTTGTCTCACTGACGCATAAGTACCTAGGGCCAGCGCTACGGAACAGTTGGATGAGTATGCGATAATAGCCCACTAATCCAGCCTCCTCTATTCACCAAGTCCTCTACGTCCACCATTGATACTTGTTTGCACGCAGACCTCGTTTTAGCTCGCGCCTAATGGTCCGACTGGTTGCATTGTGCTCAATTTTCTTTTGGATTCCAACAAATTCATCGACCTCTCGGATATCCAGTGTCTGGTGCGATGGCAACTGATAGTGTCGTATGCGAAGGATCTCGTCCTGTATGACAGTCGAGATACTATTCCACTGATCCCCGATGTCTTTAGGATAGTAGTGAAAGTTGGGCATACTGATTAGGTTGCCTGATTGATGGATGGCATAATCTGTCAGTTGTCAATCAAGATAGAGGTTTGGCGCGCTTACCGGCAGTTTTTGTGAGATCGATAAGGTATCCAGAAATAATCAGTGTGTGGACATGTACTCCAGAATGAGTGACAATCCGTTATTAAACCACGCTACCTGAAACTTATGACAATGTGATCCATTTGGTTCCACCACGGGTTACCTATTGGAGAACGACAAATGGCATATCACCGCAGTTGCGATAAACAG